CACACATACACTTTGACATTGAAGTGGGCTATTTTAGGCATACAAGTGATATAATATAATATAATACTTACTGGACCTTTACATTTTTGAAGAAATAAGTTTGAATCTGTAAATGAAAATCTCGATCCTGTGAAAATGCAAGGCTTTGTAAATGTTTGTAGCAGATGGGCCACGTAAAAGTCATCTTCTTGTTCGGTTTCAGGGTATAAAACTCAACGGGTGGACGACAAACTGAACCGAAGAGGTTACGGTAGGAACACACGCACGCAAACATTCTGGCACATACACGCGTATGACCACACGTCAGCGCACACATGCATTCTACCTGTAGTAGACTCTTTGTCAGGATCGTGGCAGAATTAATTTTGCCTTAATGTTATGGCTTATAAGAACATATTTTCACTTATAAGAACATATTTTCACTGCATTTAAAATTAATTCTGGGGCGATAACTATTAACGTTACCGTGCACAGCAGAAAGAAAGCAAATATAAACTAGAAAGCGCTCCGAGAGCGCAGACCTCTGAGAGCGCAGACCTCCGAGAGCGCAGACCTACTTACAATAGAATCAGAAAAAAAGCCAATAGAATCAGAAAAAAAGCTCCGCCTGATTGTTATGGTTTCTACTAAACCAATCGCCATCACAAACACACGCACACTCTCTTGTGCTATAAAGGGATATGGAACGCATGAAACGAAGATGTATGTAACATTTTACGAAAAAAAATTACAGATAGTATAAATCCCGAAACTGAAATTGTTAGACTTAATGTTTGAAGCAGACGACAATACTAAATAATCACCCATTTTTCAGGGTATGGAGCTCAGCGGGTGGCCGACAGTGACGTAGATGACGAGGTGAAGCGAAGAGGTTACGGTAAGAACACACGCACACAAACATGAACACGTGCTAGTACTTACACACGCTGGCACATATACACACGACAGTGCACACATACAGACTTGACATTTAATATGGAATATTTTTTTCGAAATAATTTTTTATCAGTTTTTTTCTATTTTGCTGACTGATAAATGAAAATAAGGATTAATATCGTGTTTTAATAACTTTAAATTATCTTTTTGATGTCATTGTGACATCAGTTCATTAATGGAATTCGCCAGAGAAGCAAACAAAAACACATTGCCTATTCTATGTCATACGACTCCCATTAAAAGAGATATTTTGGATCTCCATA